TCAGTCTTGGGGATTGAATCCAGGATCTTCATACTGAGCTCCATCCCTGGCTCTTTAATTTTAATTTTGAAGCAGGTCTCACTGCACCACCGGGGCTGATCTGGCCCTTGTGATCCTCCTGCCTCAGCCTCGCAGGGTGCTGGAATCACAGATATGTACCACCAGCCCAGCTCTGCTAAGTCTTATTCCCAGGTTCTTTCTGACTCTGCTCTTTCCCACTTGGAACTGACAAATCACACTCAAAGATAATTGCTGGTCTTTTACTGCAGCAGTTTTAAAGGACTGACTCTGAGTAGCCTGTGACAAGTACTAATTTTTGTAGCCTGTAAAAAATAACCCATGTGTGGTTATCCTCTTTTTGAATTATTGATCACTGTTGGCTACTGTCCCCGAGTCTAGAGTATAAAAACTCTGACAATAAAGACAGCTATTTTGAAAGTATTAAAGAGAGTAAAACAGTCAAGCCTGTGCGCCTTCTACAACAGAGGGCTTTTATGCCGCATAGCAGGTAGTCAATAACATTTTATGTCCACGGAGGATTCTCCGCTTTCCAACGACACTCTACCCCCAGTTGTGAAGGCAGGGGCAGACTTTCCTCTCTCCTCTGCTCTCGCATCTTGAGCCAGTTCACACTGTAGCAGTCTCTGCAGAAAGGGCAGGAAAGAAGCCAGTATCGGGCCAGGCCCACTCTCTTTCCCTCAGCAACAAGGCAGGTGAATAATTAACACCCATCTGACTCCACCTAATTAAATCCAGACCCGCCAGCTCTGTTCATCTGAACATACTTTGCTTTAGAGAAAATCACCTTTGCTATCTTCACAGTTTATATTTCTTAAATGGACACCTTTGGAATTAAAGAGACTGTCTTGGCTTTGAAAGCCTTCTGTGAGCTGATCATTGGGAATAGATGGCGAAGCCTTACTCTTTTTCCTAAATGGGAGAGAGAACATTAACCAGTTACTGGTTGACAGTCATATGAACCTAATAGTCAAGCCTCCTGGAATCCTTGATTATACCCAGCTTCTCCCGAAGAGGGTGGGAAAAAGAAAGCTTTTTGTCCTTTAAAAATGGAATCTGCACTCACAATGTGGGAAATTAGTGAGAATCCACAGGCAAATGCTGGGTTGCAGCCTGGTTGCTGTTTGGATGATCCTGTATAACCTGAGCCTCAGACGGAGTGGCTCCAACTGCAAGTCACTGGTGCATCAGGCTTGGAAATCAACCCCCAATAAAACACGATGCTCAGTCATTCAGAACAGCATAGTCGTCAGTATTTCGCCATCAGCAGCCTCGTTAGGACTCCTTTCAACACAATATAAACTCGGCTCCTTTACTGTACCAGGCAAACCTTTTCGATTGCATGTAACCCTGCCCAGTCATTGAAGCCATGATGGAAAGTTAAACAAAATCACAAGGCTGCCAAGCCTTCTTATAGGAAGAATTACGCTGGAGTCTTGTGATCTTTTCCTTAATTTGTATTGTCAACTTCTCATGTATCCTTATGGCTTAGAGATTGAAATTTCGATATGGATCATCCACATGAGAGGGTGGAGGAGAATAATGTGGACTGCAGGAAGGGAGGGAGAGGCCAAGGAGTCTGCGTTCTATCAGAGCGTCTAGAATCTGAGACGAGATGGTAGAATCCTCAAATCCACTGTCCTGCACATTGAAATCGCAACGCAGTTTTCCAATAAAGCCTCCTCTGGCATCATCTTCTCCAAGTGTAAAAGACTAGGATAGAACTCAGCTATGGAATTATAAACTAAAGCTAAACAGCAAACTGGTAAGTGGACAGTTCTGAGTCAGCTAACATCTCTACCATTGAAATTCTTGAGTTTGGATTTGGTTTTATCTCTCACTTATTCCCTTGAACAAGTTACTTCAAAAAACAAGTTACTGCCAAAATCTCAGTCTATTTTCTTAAACCTTGAACTACAATCTATTAAGACATGACTCTTGTTGTACAGCTTGAACTTTCACATTATCTAAATAAAACACCCAAGGATTACATTGTTTTGTCATGTGATTGTTGTTACTATGATAACAATGTTGGGGCTTGCCTATGTGTTTGGTAGGGGTGCTTGTAAAAAGAATATATCTGATTAAGTGTGCTGTTTATTTACTTTTGGACCCACAGTTTAAAGACTTGCACACAAAAGGCTAGGAAATGCTTCCTCGATGAGAAACCCTCGCCAAGTGATTACTCAGCTGGCAAAATGGAAATTTCAAGTTGCATAGACAGCTAATTGTGGGCTGCCTCTGGAATGACAGGTCTATAATTTTTAGTTTTGTGTGCAGTGGAAGCCAGTCACCTTGACACTCTGTGATCCATTATCCAGTGGCCACCAGCCACACGATGGTGTTCAGGGAGTGACAGGCAGTCTCTATTCTGGGTGAGGAAACACTCCGTGTTTTATTTGGAGAAAACCATCTTCAGAGAAAAGGGGAAAGCCAGGTGCTGCCCCCCCACCAGCAATGACTCTGGAACACCTTTAGTTCCTGAGAATCGACTCCTTTGTTCTTGCATGATAGCGACCATCAGCCACTCTCCATGTTGGTTACCAGCATACTTTAATGTGTCATGATCCAGGCCCTCTCAGTGTACATTTTGCCTCTTGATGTCAAAAGCTCTCCCTACTAACTTGCATTATGCTCAAGTAACTTAAAACCTGGCTAATGCCTATGTTTCCAGGGAAGGTTAACATGCTTGTGCTTCAGAGGTTTTTCTTCCTTTTTTAAAATGCAAAGCTGTTGTTTTAATTACTTCAAGTCCTCATGAGGTGGAGGAATATTATTAAAATAAGGGCCAGGAGATGACATTGCAATTTTCGTTGTTCACTGAATGGCTGTTAACTTTGAATAATATCAGATTCTGACTCTCCCATCTGTAGAATAAAGAGGCTGAACCAGACATTTGGTTGTCTTCTATCCCTGCATGTTTCTGTTGCTATATACGTATTAAAAATATGGTCATAAAGTGTTCTTAACTACAAATAGCTCTGGAGTTGGTTTGTCAAGCAGAACAGCGAAGATGTGTTTGGCAGCAAGTAGCAATCCCAACCAATTACGGCATGAACAGCAAGATGTCCAGTGGTC